TTTTCAGAGCAGGATCTCAAAATCCCTAGACTTATCTTTGCAAAGGTGTAGCAGCAAATTCATGTGGTGGTCTGGGGACCTATAACGGTCCTTCCGGTCCTCTGGCATATCTACAATGTGTACACCAGGAAATTATTTTTCTAACTCAGGTCTGTGTGTCTCTAAGGGTTCACTCAAGTGTTCCAGAAGGTCTGAAAACCCTCTGAGGTCACCGGTTATGTTATTTTTGCATTTACATGGTAACACTAAAAATGTATGCATACCCTCGATCCTATGGCTGACTCTCTTATAACAGAGGCCTGTTACATGACTTCAGTTGCCTTATTCAGATCTGTGTTTACCTTCAGGTTGCATCTAGTAACCATCTACAGGGACAGCGTTTAACTTTGGCGTGTGTTGAGAAGCTGGCTTGCAGCTGTTACATTGGCTTGCCTTCTGTCTAGCTCACACTGAGAGGCTGAGCGGAAAATGTTGTTTCTTTTGTGCACTTATGTCTCGCAAGCACTTAGAGCAATGCCGGACACACAATAGGTACTCAATAAATATGTGATGAATGAATGAATGAATGAATGAATCCACAACACCGCTCTTATTCCCATGCTGGCTTTGTTCATCAGTTTTACATACAAAATTCTTTTGGCAGTGACAACTGGCAAGGGAAAAACATTTTTCAATGGATAACACTTTGGGCTAAAAATGTGTGTTGCTGCAAGTGAGATCCATGAAGTCCAAGAGACCTAAGAACACAGGCTGAGGGGATGAATGGGGTCCCGTCAGACAAACAGCCCCCTACAGGCTCATGACTAGACCCCTGATCGGTTCCTCCTCTTCCTTCCCTCCTGGGCCTGGAACAGACACTCTGTCATCCTCTGCCCGTGTTGGACAGGGCACGGTGGGCTTCATGCTCTGTGAAAGGAAACTCTCCCATCTGCGTGTGATTCCAGAGTAGCTGTTTTCCCTCCGTACATCATTTTGTTTGGCTTGCCAACTCTTAAAGTTGGCTTCACTTTTCCTGATAATGAAGGAAACACGCCATAAGAATAAGATTTAGGGAACTGTAAAGACATAGCAAAGAAATAGATGCCCAAAGCCTTGAGGTTCTCCAGGTTTATAAAAGATACCTTCCCTATCTTGTTTCTCTGCTTGTGAATGCAAGGTTCGGAGAGTTGCCATTAATATTTCGGTGCGGTTCTTTCTCGTCTTTTTTTTCTGTGTGTATGAATTTGATAACCAAAACCAGAAACAAACAAACAAATACAGAAAGTTGCCCACGTTCAACCATTACTGACCCACGAAATGGCCGTTTTATATGGTTTAACTCAGTAATTCAGAGTGGAAGCCACACTATGTATATAATTTTACCCTGTATTCTTCTCCCTTGTCATTGCAATAGCACCACTTGCCCGTGTATTTGCTGAGGCTTCGACCCTTCAGGAGTTTGCATTAACATACAAATAATTGATGAGCATTAGCATCTCAGCTGGGAGCCCTGCTCTGAAACAGTCCACATGGTGCCCAGACTTCCTGAGCCTTGCTGTGAATGCCTCCGATCCTCAGTGATCCTTCCAGGAAACTCTTCCTGTAAATGCCCCCAGCCAATTGCCTGTGTCTGGTGCTGGGCACCAGATTTCCTTCCGAACCCAGCAGCTTCCGGGAGTACACTAATAACTCTGTCCAGTTGGGCATCTCGCATTCCTTTTGCCTGAATCTGGCCCATTACCAGTGATGCTATTGGGTTTGTGGCATACCTTCCTCTCCAACGAAATGACCCTCTTTGCTTTTGTGTGTGTGTTTCTTTTTTTTTTCTTTTTTAAGATTTTATTTATTTGACACAAGGAAGAGATCACAAGTAGGCAGAGAAGCAGGCAGAGAGAAAGGAAGGGAAGCAGGCTCCCCACTGAGGGGCTCGATCCCAGGACCCTGGGATCACAACCTGAGCAGAAAGCAGAGGCTGTAACCCACTGAGCCACCCAGGCACCCCTGTGTGTGTGTTTCTTGTTGTTTAGTGATTTCTGGGCCAGGAACAGTTGGCCAGCACTACTAAAAGAGCAAGCTGGGGTTTTTTGGGTGTTTTTGTTTGTTTGTTTGTTTCTGGTTTTGGTTATCAACAGGAGGGCTGCTCTTAGGGCCCTGGATTTCTCTTGGCAAACATCATCAGGACTATCGGCTTGTATCTTTTCATCGCAACAAAGTTCTGAGGAGTCCATGGACCAGGTAGTTCCATTATGTTGTGATTCTGACTCCAAAATGATTATGCAGGAAGAATCATCTATGTCCGGACTGGCCTCCTCATCTGAGACTTGGGATAGCCTTACCCTCTGATGAAGCCTCTACTTGCTCTTGATTTGGCTGGGTTCAACCACATAGACTAAGAAGGTTGCGTGTCCATCCAAAAGCTTCATTTCCATAAAGTTTGGGAGCTTAGGACCGAAGATCAGTTGTCACCACTGATAATAACATCATGTCACTCCAGGTGCAGCAGCGGAAAAGAATGGACTTTAACATTTTGGCTCCAACAATAAAATAGTTAACAGGAGACAAGAATATTTAAAAGCAATCTGCAGCCTACAAAAACATCAAAGGGTAGAGATAATAAAGCAAAAAAGGACACAAAATGAAATGACAGGTGGTTTCTTTTCTGATCAATACATGGTAAGCTACCACACAGAGAGGCAGTATTATAAAACCTAACACCCTGGTTTTGAGGTCACACCAACCATATTCAGTCCTGACCCTGTATCTTACTAGTTCTGAATGGCTCCTAGATTATTTCCTCTTCTGTAAAACTGAGCCAGAAACAAGCATCCTAGATAGTGACTGTAAGGATTAAAGACACAATATCAAGCACACTTGAGCTTAATAGTAGTAATTATTGTTATTATTATGATTAGACTTTCACAAAACTTCACAAGTTTTTAATTTGGTTTTTTAATGTTTATTATTACAAACACAACAGTGTGACAGTAATAGATCAACTTTGTTTTTTGGGTTATTTTTATATTTTTTTTAGTAATAAACTTAAAAAGAGGAACCAACCACACTACCCTCCAAAATTGAACTATTTACATTTTCCCATATTTCCTTCTAGTCTAGGTGAATGTGTAGACATAATCTTTAAGCAGTGTATTTGTGTTTTTCGTCTCTACCCCGCCCCCCCCACCCCTGCAACATTGTATTTTAAGTTTTCCCCTGTTGCATTATGGTCTAGCTTAGTATAAACTAGTTATTATTTCAACAAACATACCATAACCTAACTAATCATTCCACTCTTTGACTATTTAGGAGCGTTCATTTGTTTCCAGTTTGGGGACTATGCTCTCCTTTTATTCCTGCTTCTGTAATGGTGATGGAAATGCACGGTTTTTAAACGATTTAGGTCTTTTTTCCCCTTAGATGTGCAGATATTTTTGAGTTCGAACTTAGAGCACTGTTTAAGCTCACAACTGTTGCATGTGTGGAAAGAAAAGATAGTTTCAGCCTAGTTTGTGGTGGAAGGCAAATTGAGACAACTCCAAGAATTCCCATGTCCATTAACTTACGTTTCCTCATATTAGCACTTGGCAAACTGGTTTGCAGATGACAGATAACTGAGGTATGCACTCACAACATGGATCTTTAACGTGGATTAAACATGTTCACGTGTTTTATTTCATTCAGTCCCCACATTCTGCCTAGATCCAAGTGATGGGTATTCGTGTGACTGGAAGCACAGAGAGAGTATGGTGCTTGGTCCAGATCACACAGCGGAGAAGGCAGAGAACGCCCTTCGAGGACTCCGAATCCCCAGTTTTCTTACTAAGCTTTGGGGAAAAAAAAAAAAAAAAAAAAAAAAAAAAAAAAAAAAGCCCTCAGACCCTCCAGAAAGCGTCGGGAACAAAGCGGGGGCTGAGCGTCCGGCGGGGCTCCCCCGGGCTCTGCGGGGGCGGTTGCCGGCAGCACCGGAGACTCCTCCTCCCGGGCACTCGGGCCCCGCCCGGCTCCGAGCATGCCCAGTGAACTCCCCTTCCGTCTCAGTGGGGCTCTGGACCTGCGCCGCGGCTCCAGGTTTTGCGAGCGACCAAAGGGCCGGGCAGGGCTCGGGGCGGGTCCTGTTCCTGGGACTCCTTGACTCCGTCGGAATTCCCCCCGACGCGACGCTCAGGCGGCGCCCGCTTGCAGTGGCGCTCCCCGGGGACAAGCCACTCGGGGACAAGGACCTAGATGAGGTGCCAGGTGCTGCGGGCGGCCGCCGAATGGCCCTGGGCAGACCGGCCACCTGGACCTCGGGCACCTTAGTCTGGACCGGACGGTTCCAAACATCAGTCCATCCCTCCATTCACATATCCATCCCACAGTTTTTGAGCACTTACTGTGTGCCACGTGCGGGCATGCAGGAGCTAGGACACTGCAGGGAGGACAGGCAGGGCTGTACAGCTCCAGCCATTCCGTAGGGGAATACATAAGTAAGCAAATGAGAGGAAAAGTCACCTGCCGACCTCATCTCCTACTACTCTGTCCTTGCCAAAGCCTAACTAGTATTGTACCTTAGTGTCTTTGCAAAAGCTGTTCCCTCCGTGGGGATGAAACCTTCTCAGTGTCACTCTCACTGGCTGATCAGTCCACCTCATTGAAAACCGTACTCCCTAGACTTTCTTCTCCTTACCCTGTCCTTTTTCCCTTTAAGGATTTATAATCTTCTAATATACTACATAGCTTGCTTATTTACATTTATTGTCTGTTGCTTGCCCCTCTTTCCCTAAATTCCACCAGGGGACAGGATTTTTGCCTATTTGTAAACCATGCCTGAAGAACTGAAGTAGACGATCGATAATTACTTGTTAAATGAATTAATGGATAGTGATAGATGTGAAGGAAATAAAACGAGGACATGGAGAATGTCCAGGAACAGGGTGTTAATGTAGTTAGTTGCTGACGCAAGCCTCTCAGACAAGGACATAGGTACAACGAGAAGGTGCCAGCCACTTGAAAAACTAGGCAGAGAAGTCCTACACAGCAGGAGGGGAAAGGCGTGTGCAAATGTCTTGAGGGTGGCCAAGTACTGAGAGTTTGGTGGACATAAAGGTGCTCATGGGGCTGCAGGAAGGCCGGCGTCGGATGAGGGGGAAGAAGACAGCAAGAGCACAGATGGGAGGAGGAGGGTAAGGGCGGGTAAGAAAATTGGGGAAGACGGTTTAAGCCGGTAAACTTACTAGTGGAACGGGATGAGCACTGGCCTGAAAGTCAGCAGGACCCCAGCTGGGCAGGACTCGTCCTCGTTTTAAAGATTTGTTGAACGTGGTCTGTTTGACATTCCTCAGCATAAAATCACTGAGGGCTCGGCACACAGTAGGTACCCAATAAATGGTTATGGAACGAATGCCTGCGTGCCTGCGCGAAGGGACTGGAGGCTGCCAGGAGCTGGGCAGCAGAGCCCCAAGGGCCCTGGGCCGCGCGTCCGAGCGCGCCAGACCGGGGCGGAGCAGGGGCGCCCCGCAGGGCAGCCCCGGCGCCCGCCCCCCGCCCCGCGCGCGGGCCCGTCGCGGCCAGCCCGGCCGGCGGGAGCCGCCCGCGGGCGGCACTGGGCATGCTCAGACGGCGGCCAGGTCGCGCCGCGAGCGAGCTTCCGCGCCGCCCGCTTGCGCGACCTACCTGGGCGCCCCGCGCCCCCGGATGCTGCAGGTACGGGCGGGCGCGACCCCAGCGGGCCGAGGCGGGGCGCGGGACTACCGGGGGCTGGGGGCGCGCTCGGCGCCGCCCCGCCCCCACCCGTCCCCGAGCGCGCGGCGAGCGCGCGGGCGGGCTGGTGGACGCCGCGGCCCCGGGGTCCCGACGCCACGTCGGGGCGGGGAGGGGGCTCCCGGGGCGCGCTCACCTGGCGGGGCCGTGCCGGGAGAGAGCCAGCGGGGCGGGGTGGGGCTCAGTCCCCGGCGGGCGGCCGGGACGCGGCGGCGGCGGGGCGTGGGCGTGCGCTCCGACCCTGGCAGGGGTGGACATGGCCCGCGAACCTGGAGGGCCCAGCACCGCGACGACCCCAGCCCGGGGCGCCGAGGGGGCGCACCGCCCGCGGGGAGCCAGCCAAGCGCGGCTCCCAGGGCGAATCCTCCTCTCGGCTTTCAAAGATGGCATTTCCTGGGCCTGGCACGAACTCCAGCGCCAATAAATCCTCCCCGTTCCGCGGGCGATATGGAATGATTTATCAGGTACCTGCGGTGAGACAGCTGCAGTGGGGGAGTGTATGTGAGAACGCCCAGTCCCCCGGAAATTCCCATTTTCGGCAACCTAAACTTACTGAGAAGTTGCGGTTGCCTTAAAAATTCATGGGAAGTTGAGACAACTTGACACCTGGGTTTTCTGTCCTGGTGGAAAGAGCTTGTGAGTTGGAAACTGGAGACCTCCTTTCAAGTTGGGCTCCCCCTGCCCAGCTGGTGACCTTGGGCGAGTTGTTTAACCTCTCTGATCTTCGGTTTCCTCCCCTGCAAACAGCCGGTAATAATGCCCACCTCACTCTGTGGTTGGGTGGATTAAGTGGGATAAATTATGTGGAGGTGTTTGGCTCCGTGCCCGGCACAAAGCAAGGGAGCAGTTGGCGTGATGTGAATTTAATTCGTTTAGAGACCCTCGTGGCTCCCATTTGACCAGGAAATTAGAATTACGAAAGCATCTTCAGGGCCTAGTGGCAGAGTGACAGACCCTGTCTTTGTGCCCTGAACTGCAGAAGTCAAGGGTTTTGGAAAACCAATTTAGCCGAATTGTAATCCGAGAGCATCTTAGTTAAAAGCAGTTTTATACATTCAGAAACTCCAGAAGTTGGCAGTTCAGCTTTACTTACAAAAGAGCTGTTTTGCAAGATGATCCATCTTGCAAATGTTTAAAGAGATGATGGGAGGAAGTACAGCCTGGTTAGAAGGATTTCTGTTGGGAAAAGCTTTCCTGATTATTTAGATCAGGGTTTCTTAACCTCAGCACTGTTAACATTTGGGGTTGGATCGGTTTTTGTTGTGGGGCCTGTCCAATGCATTGCAAAACGTTTAGCAGCATCTCTGGTCTTACCTGGTAGATTCCAGTAGCAATCCTTCTCCCTCAGTTGTGCCAACCAAAAATGTCCTGTCATTCCCCCCCCCCCGCCCCCCGCCGCCAAGTGTCCCTAGGAGGTCAGAATATCTCCTCTTCCCCTTTAGAACCACCTGCTTTCTGTCATTAGCCTACCTGAGTAGGCTGTTGGTCCAGAATTTCATCTTGTGTTTAACTAACCTTCACATAGCCTTATAGAATTGTGCAGAGTGCATCCAGATGGATGGAACTCACTTAATTTTTACAACTCTCCTGTGAGGCCAGTGTTATTCCCATTTTACAAATGAGAAAACTGAGACCTTGAACCGCCTATCATACAGTATTGGCCTATGTGAGATCTCAGGTCTTCTGCTTCCTTGGGCAGGTCTTTTTCTTCTGCATCAAGCTGCCCTTTACTGTACGGAGACTTTCAAACAGATGACTTTTCCTGGTGATTAAATCAACACGTAAAGCAGACTGGAAGCTGGAAACCTTTCTGAGATTGACTAGTTGAAAATTAGCAGCGGTGAGCTATTATATGACAGAGTAGGTCGTTGTAGTTAAATATTCTAGTTTATAGTGAGCTCCCATAAACCCCACGTACACTTAATGGAATACCGATTTGGAGAATTAGAGTAGAGTAAAACGTGCCTAATACTCTGTATTGATCCTGAGTTGTCTCTGGTGAATTGCCATCTCCTAAAACTGGGCTCTTATATGCAAATTAGGCATTCGCTGAGGAATGTAAAAGGTCAAGTTACTGAAGGCATTTTCAGAGTGGCTTTCTGTTCAGCAAGCTGAACAGAAATTGAGAAATTGAGCTGCTTCTGTACATCAGGGTGGGGATGCTGAGTAGGCCAGTGGATCCCAGCAAACCCAGGATGCCTGGGGGAGCTTCCCTGCCAGGTGGGGGGAGGTCCTCAGGGACATCTGGGAGCAGAAGAAAGAACCTAAGTTAACACAGAGTCAAATTCAGGATATCTCACTGCTTCACTACTCCTGTTTTAGACCTCTTCTTTCACATTTTTTCATAGAGAAGAATTCTGGTAGCTCTTATCCTTAGGCAAGTGGCAGGAACCTGGACAGAGACAATCTTACCCCTGAAGGAGTTGGGGTTCCCAGCTGGTAACTGACCTTAGGGAATTGGGACCAACTACTTGATTGTTGACTGTGAAACTGGGAGGGTTTGCCTACATTGGTTTATTTGAACTGGTTTAATATCACTGCTATTCTATCCCACTCTTGCAGAAACTGAGCTAGCAAAGGTAGTCTGGGAAGAGGGACTAACTGTGACCTTCTGAACTCTCAGTCCAGGCCCGGAAGATATCTGTCTTCCAGGATGCACACAACCCACCCACAGGGCTTAGCTTTGGGGATTGGAAGGAGCAAGAAGGCCTGGCTCCCTACCTCCCCACTGAACTCTCAGGGCTTGTGGTAGGTTGGGAGGGGACCTACGACTTTGACCGTGATCCCTGTGCTCAGCTTCCTTCCATCAGACAGCAGTGGTTCCTGGAAAGCAAGGCCAATCCCCTTTCATCTGTTCCCAGGTCCTTTGCAGGGGCTGGAATGCCTAAGGCCCTCTGCACTTGCCCTGGCCTTGATGGGCTGTTGGAGGAAGGGCATCCTGCCGGTGTTGCTTCCCAAGCTTGGGCTCTTCTTACCAACTCTATTAGAGATGGGCCAGGATCAGGTTAGCGTCCACCCTGCTCAGGTCTCACGGGTATCTCCTTTCATCTCCCACAAGAGGGATGAGAGGGAATGCTTTGGTAGGCCCTTGGCTAAAATCTGATTTAGTTATGGGTTCCCAGACCCCGAAATCTTGCAACTAGTAGCTTCTGCTTATGTGTGTACCTGAAGCTACTTTTGGCCCCACCAGGTGAAACTCAGCTGAGAACACAGATTTCACAGCAAATTCAGACAGTTACTGAGCCGTGTATCAGGCCCTAGGAGATGGAAGTCAGACCCATATCTCGGAAGGATGCATGGTGGAATTGGGAAGACAATGATGTGTGTGAACGTGTTTGAGGCTCTGTATCTACTTCTCTGTCTCACGTTACTTTAAGAGAGGGTAAAGCCAGATGCAGGAGAGACCAGTAGAGGCAACCATTCATTCTGGTGGGGGTCAAGGAACACTATAAAGAGTAGTTGGCATTTGAATTCAGCCTTGAAGGGAGGAAAGATGGTATTTGGGGAGTGGACAGAACAGCAGGCACTAAGGCCCAGAGACCATGTGTATATCAGGAATGGTTACTCTTCCCCAGGTCCGGCCTCCTGTAGTCAGCACACTCTCCCCCATGTCCCCAGACTCAAGGCGGAGGTAAGTGGCCATTCTCCTTGTTCTCCCCAGATAGAAGTGAAGCTGGTGGGTTGTCTTTGAGGCATGACCACCTTCTGCCAGGGATGCCTTTGGATTTCGTTATGAAACACTGTTATGGCACTTAACTGGCTGCCAGGCACTGTTCTGAGTGCTTTCTAAATATTAACTCATTTACCTCCAATCTTGGAGCAACCCTCTGGCTGTGCTTCCTACCTAGGTACTGGCAGCTTGCTGGGTAGGTGGGGGCAGAGCTCCTCTCACCAGTCTGTGTCCCTCTGTGGGCGGTGCTCTGATCGCAGGATGGCCTCTCCTACCACTGTGTGCCGGGAAGCAGCCGAGTTGGAGCTGGGATGGGGCACTGGCTGCCATGACCCTCTTTCCATTAGGGGGCCAGCAAGGTTCCACTGACTACATTTTCTGAACCGAAGACTGGGATCTGTTGTTGGAGAAAGAATGTTTGTGCTGCTACTTCGTGTAAGAGGAGGGCCTGGTTGGAGGTGTTGTTTGGATACTGAGCGAGTGGAATTTTTGAGACAGTGTGATGCTTTATGTGGAAAGTTAGGACAGAGGATTTGAAATGGGGATAGTCCTGGAAAATTCAGGTCCCATGATTTACTGTTAGGATACACAAGGTTTTAGTAAATATTTAAGCGATGTGTAGTTTGGAGTGGATTTTCTGTACTGAGCCCCTTGGTGCCTCAAAAAGGGATAAATAGGGCGCCTGGGTGGCTCAGTGGGTTAAGCCTCTGCCTTCGGCTCAGGTCATGATCTCAGGGTCCTGGGATCGAGTCC